GTGTGTGTGTGTGTGTGTGTGTGTGTGTGTGTGTGTGTGTGTGTGTGAGAGATAATTGGTTTCCATGGGGGCAGAAGAAGGTCAATCTCATTATCCAAACCCTGAACCCTGTCACTGAGCCTCCTCTGTCTCTTCAGGGCACGCTGGATGTGGGGATGATCGATTCGGTTTGTGCAGCAGATAATCCAGAGAGGTGAGGACCTCGTCTTCAGTCACGTCTCGTCTCGTCTCTGGCTTTTCTTTGTGCAGACCTGCTTCACACACTTCTGTTATTATTTAGTATTTGAAGTGTCTGTTAGATAAAAACATTTGAATGCTACTTTTAACGGTCACGTTAGCAGCACCTTAACAGCTTTCTTCGATGGTGTCCTGTCACTGATTACTGCTGAAATGACTCAATTACAATGTTTTCATTTAAAGTTTGTGGAAAATATGGTCGTCTCACAGTGTCATTAGAAAGTTATGTTAGATTCTTGTCTTCTCTCTTCTTCCTCTGACCGTGAACTCTGTCTCTGAACCGTCTCAGGCCGAACTCCTTCGTCATGATCACGGCAAACCGCGTGCTGCACTGCAACGCCGACACGCCCGAGGAGATGCATCACTGGATCACCCTGCTGCAGCGCTCCAAAGGAGACACCCGAGTCGACGGCCAGGAGTTCATCATCCGAGGTGACAACGCGACGGCTCGACGTCCCTTTACCCCCGATAGCCTTTTACAGGGCGGCTCCAGGGCTGGAGTCCGTCCCAGAATGCATTTCAGGCAGATATATAGATCAGATTCACAGATATGAACAATGTTAGAGGAACACCAGCAGGTTTGTTGTGGAAGCCGTTGACTTATTGGGTTCTTCTTACATTTTAAACTTGTTATACTTTTTACATGAAGTTCTGCTTTGCAGTGTAGTCGGTGTGGCAGCTCACACCAGACTCAATCAATGTTTTAAGCATTTATCTGACTTTATGGGGGCTTGACAAACAACTCAAACAGACAGAAAATGTCTAGTTAATTATTATTATTATTATTATTATTAAACAGCAGTTGTGCTTCCACAATAGGGTTGTGATTGCTGCTGCAATGTGGAGCTGACTGTAAACCTGTTGTCCTGATTCCTTTGTTTCCACCAGGCTGGCTGCACAAAGAGATGAGGAACAGTACGAAGGCCTCGCTGAAGCTGAAGAAGCGCTGGTTCCTGCTTACCCACAATTCCCTGGACTACTACAAGAGCTCCGAGCGTAACGCCCTGAAGCTGGGAACGCTGGTGCTGAACAGCCTCTGCTCGGTGGCACAGCCGGACGAAAGGGTCTTCAAAGACACCGGTGAGAAAAAGAAAATAACATTATTAACATTAATGCTTCACGTTCTTCCTCACAGTCAGAAACCGTCGTACCTTCACCGCGTCGTTTAATGTGACTCGTTGTCTCTCGGTGTCGTCCTCCAGGCTACTGGAACGTGATCGTGTACGGCCGCAAACACGCGTACCGTCTCTACTGTAAGCTGCTGAATGAGGCCACGCGCTGGGCCAACTCCATCCAGAATGTCATCGACACCAAAGCGCCCATCGACACGCCGACCCAGCAGCTCGTCCAGGACATCAAGGTAGGAAACGTCCCGGCTTAAAGCCGACGCTAGAGTCTATCCCAGCATGCATCGGGCAGGAAACACTTTGTTAAGTAAGAGTCTCTAATCAAGTGAACGTGGATGTGTTCCTACATGCAAACTGTTGCAACAAGGTGATGGAAAAGTGTGGTTTTTTTGTTAAACTGTGACTATAACAGAGTCATAATTCCATAATTAAGATCTAACTGAAACTTAAATTACCACAATGACAAACCCACCTGCTGCTCGCTGCAGATAGAGTTCAGCACAGATGCAGAGCCGTAGTGAACCCTCAGGTAGTCAGCAGAGCGTCGTGTTGAAGGCGGACTCTCTCTCTGCTCTCTGCAGGAGAACTGTCTGAACTCGGAGGTGGTGGAGCAGATCTACAAGAGGAACCCCATCCTCCGCTTCAACCACCACCCGCTGCACTCGCCGCTGCTGCCGCTGCCCTACGGAGACATTCACGTCAGCGGTGAGTCGCACAGATAAAGACACAAAAAACACTGAAATATTCAGTCTCAAGTATCAGAGACCAGATTATGAAATGTATCATAAGTGAAAATACATGCAAATATTTTACATTCAGGAATTCAATCACATCATTGCTTTAACAGTGACTCCACCTCTTTAAAAATCTGTTTTAGTATTCCAAATGAATCTATGTTTCTAGTTTTATGCTTTAAATAAACACGGTGATGTAGCACAAGTAGCTATGATCACGCACCACCCGTCACATCACTGACCTCTGCCCTCTGCCCCGGTTCAGCTCTGAGAAACAGAAGCTACACGACGCTGCAGGACGAAGCCCTCAAAGTGTTCGGGTCTCTGCAGCACCTGGAGGGCATGGCCGACCCGGTGCCCATCATCCAGGGCATCCTGCAGACCGGCCAGGAGCTGAAACCGCTCCGGGACGAGCTCTACTGCCAGCTGATCAAGCAGACGGTGCGGCCGCCGCATCCCGGCAACCCCGGGAACCTCTGCAGCTGGAAGATCCTGACCTGCATGTCCTGCACCTTCATCCCGACCAGGAGCATCCTCAGATACCTCAAGTTCCACCTGAAGAGGTATTGGCATGTTCACGGATGGCTGCGGAGAGTTTGTGTCTTCAGAAAAGTACAGCTTGTCTTTACAGATTAATCTGAAGATCGTTAATGATCCAAATCGCTTCCTCTGCAGAACTCGAGAGCTCCTACCCGGCTCGGAGATGGATCGTTACGCCGCCTTCGCCCTGGACTCCCTGAGGAAGACTCGAGCCAGGGAGAACGTCCCGTCGCAGGAGGAGATCCGCTCCATCGTGGCCCGGCAGGACATGAGCACTACGGTTCACTGCCACGGAGGAGGCTCCTGCAAGATCACCATCAACTCACACACAACAGCCGGAGAGGTGGGTGACGGGCAGGTTGTATTTATAGACATGTTCTCTTAAATAGTTTGATTTCATCTGCACATTTTTGAAAGTGCAGTTTATGAGGCATTGGTTGTTTTTGTGTGTCAGGTGGTGGAGAAGCTGATCCGAGGTCTGGCCATGGAGGACAGCAGGAACATGTTTGCTCTGTTCGAACACAACGACACGACGCAGAAAGCCATCGAGAGCCGTGCGGTGGTGGCCGACGTGCTCGCCAAGTTTGAAAAGTAAGCGTCACAGTGTCTGTTTGTGTGTGTTAGTGTTTGTGTTTGTTAGTGTTTGTGTCTAAAGCAAATCAATTCTCTCTGGTCTCCAGGCTCTCAGCCAGCTCAGACGAACGAAACACCGGATGGAAGTTTTACTTCAAGCTCTACTGCTTCTTAGACTCAGAAAATGTCCCCAAAGACAGCGTGGAGTTTGCCTTCATGTTTGAACAGGTAAGACACACTTTAAACAAAATTGTGTCAAGCAAAATAATATTACAATTAATAACCGAGTTTCAGCTCAGCATTCTTTATTATTGATTGTTTACTTTGATCTATACATTTTCTAAAAATGTTAACAATCAGTTCCCTAAAGCGGAAGGTTAAAATCTCAGTTTATAATAAATCGGGTTTCTCGTTTTATTTTGTGTATTGCACTAACTTACTGAGGCGGTTGTTCTGGAAGCTCTATCTTACATTGTTTTTTGTCAACAGGCCCACGAAGCCGTCATCCGTGGTCAGTATCCGGGCCCCGAGGAGACTCTTCAGTTCCTGGCTGCCCTGAGACTTCAGTACCTCCAGGGCGATCACAGCTCCCAGGCCAACGTCCCCGAAATGTCCCTGGTGTTCCCCATGGCGCGATTGCGGGCCCGGGTGCAGAACTCGGCCAAGACGTTCGCTCCCGGCGCCGGCTCGGTGGCCGACCGCTCGGGGACCTCAGAGAGGAAGCGCTCGAGCTTCCTGGAGGGAACGCTGAGGCGGAGCTTCAGGAGCGGCTCGCTGAGTCGGCAGAAGCTGGAGGAGGAGAACAGCCTGGAGGCGTGGATGAGGGAGGAGGCGACGGCGGTGAGGACCAGCGTGATGGACAAGTGGAAGAAGCTGCAGGGGATGAACCAGGAGCAGGCCATGGTCAAGTACATGGCCGTGGTGAAGGAGTGGCAGGGATACGGATCCACGCTGTTCAACGTGGAGGTGAGGACAGAAATACATCAAAATGTGAATCTGACTAAAGGTATGAAATGCCGGCTCTCACGCTTCTTGTTTCTGTCGTCTAGTGTCGGGACGGAGCGTTCCCCTCCGAGCTGTGGTTGGGCATCAGCCGGGAGGCCATATCGGTGTACAAACGAGGGGAGCCGTGGCCTCTGGAGGTTTTCCCGTACGAACAGATTCTCTCCTTCGGAGCTCCGCTGGCCAACACCTACAAGATCGCCGTCGAGGGCCGAGAGCTGGTCTTTGAAACGCAAATGGTTCGTACGGCAAATTAGTTTCTTTACGTTGGAATAAATGATGTGAATATTTGAAGGAAGTTCGGTAACGTCAGCACTTTAAAATATTACAATATACGTGTGAAAAATATTCACACGTCTACAGACAAATACTTCACTGTTTGGGCTTGGTGAGCGATTACATTGCAGCATAGCAGGCTACACATCTAAGTTGAGCTGATGTCAACTTTAACTTTCAATTTCTTTCTATAACCCAAAATCACAAATTTGCCTCGATCATGATAGAAATCTCGTCCTCCTCTTCCTCCTCCTCCTCCTCTTCCTGCTCCTCCTGCTCCTCCTCCTCCTCTTCCTGCTCCTCCTCCTCTTCCTCCTCCTCTTCCTCCTCCTCCTCCTCTTCCTGCTCCTCCTCCTCCTCCTGCTCCTCCTCCTCCTCTTCCTGCTCCTCCTCCTCTTCCTCCTCCTCTCCTCTGCAGGTCATGGACATCGCCAAGCTGATGAAGGCCTACATCAGCATGATCGTCAAGAAGCGCTACAGCAACTGTCAGTCCGTCAGCAGCCACGGCAGCCAGTGCAGCGCCTGGTGAACGCCGCCCTTTGACCTTTAAACTTTACGGCCACTGGCCCGGAGCGCCCACGGCTGAGTGGTTCGAGCGCGGCCGCCGCCGGGCCGCGGTCGGACGCCCCGTCCTCGGCGCTCTTGAGGCAGCAGCTCGCACATTCGACCTGTCAGACTGACTCTGTGGATGCTGGAGACAAACCACGAGGCTCTTAACCTCAGTTAGCTCAAGATTAGTATTCTGAATGGTTTCATTCCAAAACATGAAACATCCACACCTGAGAGTTCACAACGAGATATCATCCTGATGATGACACACCTGAGAGTCAGCAGGTTCCAGTGTTCAGAAGGTGGAGGGATGGAGCTCAAAACAAGACACTAAACACTGACGACACCACGAGCCCGACTTTGTACAGAATTGATGAATCGTCCTCAATATCATTTTAAGTAAAAACGCCGTTTCGTTTAGTAATTTGCGTCTTGAAGCCCCGAAGGGCTCAAGAGCCTTTGAATCTTAAGGTTTCATGAACGGGATGACATCTACAGAGGAACAATCAGTTATCCCGTAAAATGACACAAAGATAACACGACGTTGTGTTTAGCAACAAAGTGTCAGAATAAAAGCGCATTAAAGTCAAGTGGCTCGTAGCGTCGACTCGAACTAATGGAAGGAAGACATTGACGTGGTCATTGAGGACAACAAACGATTACACAACAACAAAATATACAACACGAACAATTCGTCAAGTGTCTCCCCAAAATAAAACCAGCTGAAGGTTTACTGTAGAAATAATGTGCTGTGACACGACAAGGAGTGTTGATTCAGGGCGAGGCTTTTTGTTACTGAGGCTTTTGTCCGTGTGTGTGTGTGTGTGTGTGTGTGAGACGTGTGTGTGAGATGTGTGTGTGTGTGAGATGTGTGTGTATGTGTGTGTGAGACGTGTGTCTACGTGTAAAAACTAAAATAAATGAAGCAGAGAAGATAAAGAACAGAAGATAGTTTCCTCTGCTGTGAAACACTGGGACTCGACCTTCTATACAAACGTTCTCCAGGGATGATCTGCTCGCTGTAAATATTATGCAACTGTACTTTTTAATTTGTGATCGATTGTTTTTCGATGGATTTGCTGACGACTTTGAATAAAGGTCACACAAGTGCCTGTTCACGCTGAAGCAGGACGAGCTGAACGGGCCTCGAGTCTCATCGATCGTGTTCCTGTAGGACCAGGACCTGAACGCTGCTCCCACGTTCCCCTGAAGCTACCGACGTACTTCTGTACGCTGCAGCCTCCGTCCAGCTACGCAAGTCATTCTTCTGACAAATCTGGTCATTTCTTAATATCGATGGTGCACATCCACAGTCTTTAGTTTGGATTCGTGCCATTTATCACATTTACTCTCCAAACCTCCACAAACCCAACACAGCAGCTTAACGTTCTCTTTTTAAAAACCTCGATGGCTGCAAGAGACCGGGTCCCGCTGTGGACAGAGATCTTAACTTCAGATGTAAACGAGCCAAATGGTTCCAAGTACATCCTGTAAAATGATGAACCTTTGTCCATCCAGACCTTTAATATCTCATTTTTGTAATTTTATACGATCTTTTCTACCAACGTGAAGTACATTCATTGTTTTATCTGAATGTAAACTGAGAATTTAGTCTCTGAACACTTTCTCAATTAATTCTCAAGAAAATGTAGATAATGACAATATGAAACTACATTTACTACATTTAACCTGTATCAGCTGTTAATGAGAACCAGGACCTCGTTAGACAACGTTTTCAATCAGCCACTAAAACGACTTCTTTCTGTCATTATTGTTGGAATTGCAGCGACACAAACATCCCCTTTAAACTGCAGTCTGCAGTCATCTGTCACCTGTTCATACATCAATGTCTGGGGCTGTTTTAATGTTTGGGGCAGAATAATAACCCTGCAGTCATTCTTCCGTTTTGACCCCTAGTGGTCTTCTTTTCTTTAGTACATAATTACTTGCAAGCACTTAAAACTGCACGAAAGCCACAAAATATGACAGAAAGCCAAAAATTGTCATTTTCATTGAACCGTGCAGGTGAAGCACAGTTATTGTGCTGTGAAGGCTTTAAAACACGATGCAACGCCCCCATTAAGTAAGTCAGACTGCAGTGATTGAACATTATGATGATAAAAAAGAGGTGGATTGTGATGCGATCGATCGTATCTTAGCTTGAATGACTTGCTCAGCTGGACTGTGTGCGCTGTAACATTCCTACAACATTTCACTGGAGCTCCGCGGGCGGCAGATCCACCCAAAGACGCGTGTGCAGGTTTCTTCCACGGTGCCTTGTTGTATATTCTGTACACTTGTGTTTCCCATGTGTGGTTTCTCTTTTGGTATAATGTTTTATATATAGACACATATATATATATTATAATCACATGGCTGTACATTTTAAACTGAAAGTCTTTATCTTCTACTTTTCCTCCTGAATGATGACGATATGGTGATTTTCTCAAGATGTCAATCTTGTATTTTTCTCTACGCAGCCATCCGACTGACAGTGGACCTTTCACACAATACTGGTGTCCTGTTGTTTTAATCTGTATCAGCTGTGTGACGTACTGAACGGATGATTCTAACAATAAATGATTACAAGAGTAGTTTTGTGTTTGAGTACTTTCTAATTACTTAGATCGAGGTCAGTTTGGCACACAGGACAGTGACAGACAGTCGCGGAGTGATGATGTCACAAACTGTGACATCATGAAAAATGACGTCACAGTTTCAGCTCTCAGAAAAGGTGCCACTCACCGTCGTCCGAAAGCAGCCATCGTTGTTCTGCCCGGCAGCTACGTTCTATTTGACATCAGGCAAATGACCCACGCTGCTCTCTGTGTATAGAAATATTCTTTATACATCACATCCATGTTACATCCAAAAGAAATAGAAATACAGCCAACAGCAAAAGTCACATTCAAGTCGTCTCTGTGCTGAGCACTGACACGTCATTTACAGCCTCCGAAGGCACCAAAAAAACAACAAATCCAAAATGACCTCGGGTCGACAACACAACCACAAACCTCAAAAACCCCACAACCCAAACACCACAGGGCTGCTGGAAGCTCAACAGAACGACAGACAGACAGATTAAAACCCACAATCTTTAACGGCCGAGTCATCCGAGTATCAAGTTAAAAAATGACAGAAAACGTCCATATTTGCCGCTTGCATTGTTGAGTGAAACTGAAACCTCAACATCTGTCTGACATCAGTTGGTTTTGTGCTCATTTACAATCTGTTTAATCTCTGAGTCCTGCGTCCTGAAGGACATGAAGAGTAAAGTGTCTTTATTAGCCGCGAACAGCCAATATCCCGCTCAGTCAGCCTGATAATCAGATAATCAGACAGATAATCAGTTTGTTTTACTTGTTTTAGCTCGATATTGTCTTCATGTGAGCGGATTTTCTGGTTCGGAAGATTTGCCAGCAGGGATGTACCGATACCGACGCCAGTATTCTGCTCATGTACTTATACTTTAAATAAATCTACTCCGATACAACAACAACCAATTCAACTTTTTGGCAAAGTGACGTTAACCTCTCGTACCTCAGCAGTTTGGAGTCATATTTTAGGATAAGCGATGATGACAACAGTGGAGCAGATTGTAAATGGAGTTCTATTTCATGAAGTTGAATGTTCAAATGTCAGCAAACGCATCGTGCTTCATATCCAATTGTTAACAGAGAGAAGGTGAAGTCATTCTTAGAGCTGTGATGGTGTTTCCTACTGATAGCTGTCCAGCTATTGTTTTCTGATGTTTAAATGTATTTACAGCCTCACTGGGTGACTAGCATTATTTTACAGACCTGTAATATTCTGATAATTTAGTACCAAGGACCTCCAGTTGAGCCCAAGTGATTCCATGATTTATTTATTTTAGGAAGTTGGAGGCGTACCAACTGAACATTTACTCCATTTTTCTTTCTTGTAAACTTTGTATAAATGTACAGATACACATCAGTACACATTAAACCAAATGTACGGCATGTAGTGCATGAGGTCGACCAAGCACAGCATCCTTTACCTCTCACACAGACAACTCTGCAGTCCTAAACCATCATGAGCTGAGTGATGATGTGAATGGTCACGAGTTATAAATCTGATCATCTTTCCCATCACGACTTTCTTCCCCACATGACGTCAATGCTGCACAATGTTCAGGAAAAAGAAAGGAAGAAAGGTGATTGTGGTTAATAATATAAATAATAAAACACAGAGACAGAGACACCACACGTGAGTTCATTTAACTGTTGAGATCGTTTTGGGGGACCAGCCCCAGAGCAGACAACCGATTCTAACTCATTCGGAAAACATTGAAAAAATCTGCAGAAAAACCCCAAAACAACAGATTGTTGAATATTATAAACTGCCCAGAAGAAGCCCATATTGTTATATTGTTACCACCAGGTGTTCCTGCATAAATGCCGCCTGGTTTTACACCGATGTCACACGAATGACAACCTCTCCTGAGTCACTGTCCTGGCTGAGGTTGCTTCGGGGCACCAGGCCGGGACAGAAGGGGGCCAAACAGAGGCAGGTCCACGGCTGCGGCCCCAGCTGGGTGGGACGCACGGGCCCGTCGGGCCCAAAAGTGGCCAGAGGCAACCAAAGTGTCCTGGGGGCCAGCGAGGAATGGCCGGTGCTCGTCTCCTCCAAGTCCTTTGCTTTATTGTAGCTCTGGACGTCCCAGTGGAGGTTGACGGCTCGCCAGCGCATGAAGACGCTGTACACCGCTGCCCCCTCGTGGACAATCAAGCCTGTCACAAGAACAAAGACAGTACAGGAAACGGTGAGCCTCCGATACGCTCACAGAACAACATGACTCAAGGCTGAACTCTGGACTTCTGGTTCACAGGTTTTGGGGAAAGCTGAGGAAAGAGTATTTCCTGCTTCTCTGGTATGACATGTTGCATTAAAGGAAAACTACCCTAACCCTATAAATGACCATTTATACATCAATAACTCAACCTGTGATGAATTCTCTCATAATAAAAGTCTTGATGAATTTAAGTAAATAGAGCAAAACTAACGCGTCGCCCATTTACTTCCATTCATCCGGACTTTTCTCTGGATTCTTTTATTCTTCGTTCGTCGTGGAGGCATACGAGAAAAAAGAAGTTTTCTTCAAATATTCAAGGTGACACGGGGCGAGTAACTGTGGGGGTGGTATACCTGTAAGAGCCTAAATGTGAAACGTTTGTGCTGATAGTTAAAACAAAACAAAAAAACACCAGTCAACGAAAAATAACTAAAACATGCTAATGAGCCACCTAAACTGGGTTTCAGCCTATTTGAAGGCTTTCATTGATACTCAAAATCATAAACTGCTTTCAGTTTACCTCTTTTGTTCAAAGCTTGTAGAGAATAAAAACTGGTAATTAACAGATTATTTCTTTGTCACAAATAGGATAAAAATGTCTGCAGATCTGGGACACAAGGTACAACAAGGATTCTGCTATTGAACTAATCCCAGTCATAACTCAGTAGAACTGAAAACACAGATATACGTTTAGAGTCAGTGCGACTTATCTTATTAACCCTCATGTCCTTTGTGAATAAAGCGCTTAGAAATGAAAGGAGAAAGAGGCATCTTATAACACCAGGACTTGCATGAGAAGCTTCACGTTTGTAGGTTTTCATCTACACATCCATGGGTACACTGCAAACAGGAACTGCTAACGGCTAATTCAGCACTGTTGATGTTGCACAAATTGCCAGAATGTTAACAAATATTAGCAAACCCCCCCCCCCCCCCCGCCCCGAATAACAGGGCTTGTAGGCCACATCGTAACTAACTAAAGCCATCATGAAGTATCTTTAGGTGTCAGGTTACAGCAGGTGTTGTGCACACCTGTATAAACACGAGTGGATCTACAGTCAGCTCACGAAGCAGTCGATGCCGATCAACTCGTCAAGCTGTGACTTCAGTGCTCTGCCTGAACTAACGCTCTGCTCCATCTGTGCTACGGATTTAGTCTCATGGAACGAGACAGAGAACAGAATTAAAGAGAAACGATCTCGTCTATTCACAAATAGAATCAAGGTTTCACAACTTTAAAGCCAGGGCTGGATATCTAACTATAAAGCAGTGTCTGTCCTTCTGCGTCCGTCCTTCTGCGTCCGTCCTTCTGTGTCTGTCTTTCTGCGTCTGTCTTTCTGCGTCTGTCTTTCTGCGTCCGTCCTTCTGAGTCCGTCTTTCTGTGTCTGTCTTTCTGCGTCCGTCCTTCTGCGTCTGTCTTTCTGTGTCCGTCTTTCTGCGTCCGTCCTTCTGTGTCCGTCTTTCTGTGTCCGTCTTTCTGCGTCCGTCCTTCTGTGTCCGTCTTTCTGTGTCCGTCTTTCTGCGTCCGTCCTTCTGCGTCCGTCTTTCTGCGTCCGTCCTTCTGTGTCCGTCCTTCTGCGTCCGTCTTTCTGCGTCCGTCCTTCTGCGTCCGTCTTTCTGTGTCCGTCTTTCTGCGTCCGTCTTTCTGCGTCTGTCTTTCTGTGTCCGTCCGTCTTTCTGCGTCTGTCTTTCTGCGTCCGTCCTTCTGCCTCCGTCTTTCTGCGTCCGTCCTTCTGCGTCCGTCTTTCTGTGTCCGTCCTTCTGTGTCCGTCCTTCTGCGTCCGTCTTTCTGTGTCCGTCCTTCTGCGTCCG